TAAACTTTTAAAATTATTGAATAGTATAAACTTCTTGATATTTACTAAAATAGTTAGGAATTTAAGCCCTAGAACCGATTAATGTATTGGCGGACTGATACTAAAGCTGGTTGCCCGGCCAGTGCAAGCGAAAACATGTTGAGGTCGGTTCGTAAGAAATTCGTTAACCGAATTTTTGTTCGTTAACCGAATTGAAGATCCTTATGGAAGGCAGTTCGTTAACCGAAATTTCGTTAACCGAGGCGTTCGTTAAACGAGGGGTCACTGTATACACACATATATATACATACAGTATACAAAATAAATATGATCTATGCACTATATGGCTGTGGTAGTGACAAACTGCTTGCCATTCTTGCTCTGCTTTCCTAATTTTGTTACCTTGCTACCATCACTCACTAACAGTTTCACTATAACTGCTTGATAATCCTTCGACGTAAAAAGAAGTTTCCTCATCTCCCAGATATTTCCCATGATAATGAACCTTGTGAGGCATGTTGTTACTGCTTGAATGAATTTGAAAATTTCAAATATTTTTCCGAGTACAGTATTACAACAAACACATTACTGTACAGACACTTGAAATCACTTGAAAAACTATTTCACTGTAAAACATCATTTTAGATGTACAGTGTTCCAAATGTGGAGGGTTTAAGAGTTAAATGGACAGAGATATAACCTACCAGCTTGGCTGACCAGAGAAGACTGGTAAATGATTGACCCATGCTTATCTCCACCCATGTGGTGGTACTTTCTGGAAGCTTGCCTGGTAAGATCATGCAGTCGTCAATGACGCATGAAAAGTTTACGCAAATATTTTGAAAACATTTTTGGTGAACTTTTAAAAGTTTTGCAATGCGATTTGTGTCACTTATGCAGTTAGTGCTACCCAGTAATATGACACAATTTGCGTTGTGGTGCGCTAGAGGGTTAATTTTGCATATGAGTGGAAGCTGTGTATTTTTACTAGTACAATTCTAATTTATTAATTGTTTTTTTTTTTCAGAAGTGTGATTTGCTGATGAACAGAAAATGCTGACAAAATTTGAGACGAAGAGTGCAAGGGTGAAGGGCTTGTCCTTTCACTCCAAACGGCCCTGGGTTCTGGCCAGGTAAGACACTATACAAAGTTTTCTTCTTTGGTTTTATGTTCAGAAGAGTACAATATTACTTTAGCTTCCTGTAAAGGTAAGTTTAATTCTCCTGACTTTATTGGAGGCAGTACAAATTACAGTGAGAAACGCGTAAAGTGAACAACATAACATATGGGATTAATTGAAATAGAGACCAGGCCGACCCCCAAACTCCACTTTTTCCCGACACAATACGTACGTTTTACTAAAAATAACATCTTAACT